AAAGTTTTAGCTATCCCCCCATTGGGTTCACTTTTAGCTGTCTGCCATTTACATATTTCACATAATGTGTATATAAATAAAGCCGGAGTGCCGCTAAAAGCCACACCGCATCAAAATGGACTTTGGGAATTGCGTCAAAATGAGAATGTGTAGCCGCATTTTCAAAAAACTCTATCGGTTTTGGCTTATCCGCACACTGATCCAAACATATACACCTAGAGAAAAACCCCATAGGAAAATTAAACACTAAAATATTTGACTGTATCATGGTTTTTCAAAATATAAACTTACTTAAAGTAAAATAAAAACATAATAATGTAATTATTAACATATTAAATTGGTTTATACAATACGAAAATCGTAGATTTACACTTTTTTAACATTTTTCCATACTTAAATATAAAAATGAAAGTTTAACACACTTTGACTAAAACACAACTACCCTCGGGGTTAAATCAGTAACGAAAACTTTTGGATTTACCATGATTTTACTTTGGGTGTACAAAATGTGTTTATTAAGTTATGTTCTGATTTTGCCAAAGCCATAAAAAAAACTCTAAGTATAATTTGGGCATAAAACAGGAACTATAAAAGAGAAAAGCTTTTATGACTCTGTCACCATTTTTACCTCTTTTTTGTTACAATACATGTTGTTACAGAAGTGTGCAAGAGAATAAAAAAATTAGTTTACAAAAGTATATCAACTTATGGTAAAAATAATAAAAATGTTGTGATTAAATTAATTCTTATTACTCGTCAGTGGAGAACATGAACATTTTGCAATTCACATGAAAGAAATATAGAATCAGATCATGAACATTTTTATATTTTAGGTACTTACTTTTCAAGCAATCAATTTTTAAATTCAGTTTTAAAGAAAACTTGAATCATTAACGTTTTACTTGTGGAAACAATATATGGAGTTCACAACAGTGTGAAATTATGGATTGGATAACATACGCCTAGCGGCCTGCGATAACAATTTGTTGTGCTTATCGATTAGTTTGCGGATCTCGACATTTTCCAGCACTTTGTAGACGGTGGTGTTATGAACACGCTGCAGTGTGGCCATTTCCACCTTGGAGTGGGTCAGCTTTCCATTGTCCAAGGTCATTCCCAAAACCTTAATAGCAACATCCTTTGCGTTTTCCAATTTCGGCTCTAAGTACCCTTTGTTGAAGAGTTCCTGCTCGAGCATGGCCATTGCCGCTCTGTACTTACGACCAATGCAGGTGGCTTTCCAGCCACTATAATTCCCACTAGGATCGGATTGGTATAGCTGGAATCCGAAGCGGGCATCCCAGCCCATGTAGATTAGGGACACGCCAAAGGGTCGCTTGCCTCCGTATTGCGTATACGCCTGTTTGGTATCACACAAGTGCGAGACGAGCTGTTCGCAGGGAATAGCCTCGCCAAAGGTGAAAAAATATCGCTGTGCAATCAATCGCAGTTCGCTGGTCAGCACATTTCCATCCGCAGTGTTGCCCGTGACGCAGCATGCCGTGCCCTCACTCAACCGGCAGATCTTCGGTGCCGCAACACTGGTGTCCAAAAGCCTATCGGTACTCCGCTCGGCGGCCAAAAGGACACCGTCCTTGGCCAGGATACCCAGGCAGGTGCTCGAGTGCAAAACCGCCTCCATGGCATATTCCACTTGGTATAGACGGCCCTCCGGCGAAAAGATCGTGGTGCGGGAGTCGTAGAGACGCGCCATCACTTGAGAATATATCAAAATATAGAAGAATATGAGTCTCACTTGATGTTCAGTGAACAGTTTGTAGGTAAGTGAAAATATACGGAAACAACGTTACAATACACAAATCCAGAAAGTAACCACCTACTAGAAAATCGAGAAGATCAAAGAAATCATTTGGTTTTAAACATACTTATAAGGATTCGTCTTTTTAAAAATGCAAATTATAAAAACTTAATTTTTTAAACAAATAATAAATTAGCTTAGATCTTTACCTAAAATATAATCCGGCTTTTTTAAAACATTTCTATCACATTTCAAAATTCGAAATTAATTTTTTGCAATCAATTGGCTTTCAATGTTTAAAAATTTATTTTTCCTCAAATTTTTTTAATCGGATTTTTATTGATTGATTGCACAATTAAGTCTTTTTTTATTTTACACAAATTTTTGTCAAAAATGTCTAAGTAATTTATATTAAGTAAATTACAATAGTAATGATTTCTTTCTTAAAAATTATTTTGTTAAAATGATTTGTTAAATTATTTTTTTAATCATAAAGTCAAAATTCTTTGATACTCATAAACACATTTTCCATTCCCTTTAGTCACAATTTATTCTCATTTCGCACAGTGAAAAGTGTATGTGGCATTGGGGTTATTGCACAAAGCGCATAAACTTATTAAATATGCAAAATATCTCGTTTTTTTTGCGGTAAATGGAGAGGCTCTGCTGTCAGTCGCGAATTCGGGGCTCTGCTCTATGTTATAATAAATGCTTCGCCGGCAGGGAGTTGTTGGAATAAATTATTCATTGAGGTCAAAGGTCAAAGGCAAACCAATGCCTTTGGGCCTCTGTGGCGTCTTCATTAATGTCAAAATCCAGCCTACAAAACATTCTGTCAGTTTTCCAACTGACTGCAGTCGGCAAACTATCTTAATTAGTTTCTCGCTGGCAAAAAAGTTTATCCAACCCGGTGGGACTACCCTAGCACAAAAAAAAAACAAACCAGAGAGACCGCAAAGCATGTCGTGTTCTTGAGCAGTATAAAATCGATGATCCATATAACGATCCTGATAGGTGATTAGGTAATAGTGATGGGAACTGTCTGGACACTATGCACCCAGAAAACTGGAAAAAGAACACACAAGAACAAGCTTAAGTGGAGTGCGCCAAGTCGATTGGAAAGCAATTCGCTTGCCCTTGCCATGCATAAAATATGAGGCAACCAGGGGCCATAACTCAATTTGCTGCTGCTGTTCCCCATTCCATCTTCCGTATTCCGTATCCTCGCATCATCATCAAATCGAAATCGGTATTGGTATCGGAATAAAAATAAAATGCCTGTCTGCAATTTGGTTTAGTTCAAAAGCCCATCAAACTCATTACGTAGCATTCAGGCCTGACCATTTGGGCCACATTTTCCTCCTTTCCTCTTTTCTGACCCGCTTTCCTTCTTTGTTTATTTTTTGACAGACGAATCCCCCAACGTGGAGCGTATGTGACAGAGGATTCAGAGACTCAGCGCCAGCTGAGAGAAAATATTGGGTGGTTATGGTTGATTATGATGCCCCTTGTATAACACATACGGCTTGTATGAAATTTGAACGAGTGTGGGGAACTGAGCCGGAAAAGACCCTCATCAATATGGATTTTATGATGGACATGTGGTTCCAGTCCGAGTAGAGTTTGTTAAATTAATTGCATAAATAATTTACATAGTAATTACACGCACTTCTACTCGAAAGTGGCAGTTGCAGGAATGGAACCCCAACCCGTTAGCATATAAATCAAAATGCTAATGCACTCGAGTCGATAGTTGCATTTCACATAATCTTGCAAATTCTTAATTACGTAATGCCACAAGCTGACTTCCAGCCGCAGTCGTTGAGCTTTAATTGCGTTTCCGTTTCCGTTCCGCCGACTCATCCAATTTCAACCCCAAACTCAACTTTGCTAAAGGATGCCAGAAAGTTTGATATAAGAAAAACGAAAAGGTTAGAGGTTTGCGACTTAAAAAGGTGAAAAAACCAGGAAGCGATTGTTTGATTTGATTTATATTTGTAATTTTCGATTAGGGGAAAAAATAAATTTTGTGTAACACTCATACAATTAATAATGTATATATTAATATAACACTGGTATGATATGGTAAATTTAATATGCACATACCATTTTTTTTCAAACCACATTAGTTGAGTATTATTATATATTTATGTATTTAATTTGAAATTCATTATGAGCATTGCAGTAACAAAGTATTAATGCATCCATTTTACTTAATGAATTGCAAAAATAACAAGCCAATAAAACTACTAATGTTGCTCTATGTCTGATTAGACAATTAATACATTAACATTATCATTTCAAACTATTTGACTAACGTAATTTATTAACTGAAAAATAAATCAAAAAATGATACTATTCTGGTTTTCAAATTACCATTTTACAACCAATTGAGTAGTCATAAAAATGTTTAAAGATCATTTACCAATTGGGCAGGTGAACATATGATAATCTGATCAGTCGATTGATGATCGGCCATTTCAACATCTCAATCGATCAGCATTATCGGGTCGAACAACTATTGCATGAGCCCAATTTTATGACTTAGCATATGAATCGAATTATGGCTTCCATTGTTGTTGACTGTCCATCTATGGATCAAAAGCCAAATGGGAAAGAAACATCTTTTGGTGTATCGAATGACAAGACAAACGATCGACGATACGCTTTTAATGCGCATTGTTGGGCATAAAGAGGTGGCGATTAAAAATCAATATAAATACATCGATTGGTATTTTAACGGACTACAAAGGAAACTCTGAACACGCTTATATTTCGTTATAGAAACCATTATGCAAATTGACTGAGTGAAGACCCCATGTAAAGTGAGCACTCATAAAGTTGATTTATCCAACGGAATCAAAGCGAATTTGCATAATTATAATGGCGTGAACAGCCAACGAGTCGCCTCAAAGTCTGAGCCCAAAAAACACGTCTCACAAATCTATCACTGGGATCTTTTGCTGGCTTAGAAAATATGGCAAAGATTGCGATGGTATCTCCAAGGGGTTTGGTCTCCTCGTTTGGCCAGATTTGGTGGCACCTCGTGATCGATCCAACTGGATTGCCAAATGCATAAATCACGTGCCAGTGCCTCAAGAAACAGAATTAGATTTCACACAAAATAGAGAATGGAGGTCGGAGAATGGAGAACGGCTCCACTCGGTAGAAATTTATGTAAATGCATGAGTTGAGACCCTGAACTTGAAACAAGTCGGCGGAGCAGAAGCTCAGATCACTTTAGTTTGCTGCTGAGTTAACTGGAGATCGGTCGGAAATTTAAAGTGGGATCTGCCCCCAAAGAAAAACGTGTTGAGTACGAATTCCGGGATTATGTTCAGGACGTGTTTTTTGGTAAGTGACTAACAAGATGTGGTAATCTTTGGTTTAAGTTGTCGGTTAGGATTTATCAGGGTTTATTCCATATTTTTTTTAAAGAAAGTTTATGGAATTCAACACGATTTTTATAGACGTTTTTTGAACATTTTTCATCGTGACTATTAACATAAAAGAGTGTATAATGGGAAAATGTTATACATGATACATTATGTAAATAAATGGGTAGCCAAACATACATTGTTTAAATCATGTTGATAATTTTTGTATAAATTCATCAAACACAAGCCACGTAATGTATTGCAATATATTAATAACCTTAATTAAGCAACCAGAAGTGTATTGTTTTCTAAAGTTCTGCATCTAATAATTTTAACTTCAACGATGAAAAAACGAATCTGCTTAAACCCAAGGCTGACACCTAAAACCGCAGACCACTTACCGCTTTAAAGGTCGTATATTTGGACACCGATTTTTTGCTTATTTAAATAAGGTATTAATTGGTTGTAATTTGTCTTGCAGTTATTGGCGCTTTTGGCAGTGGCTAGTGCTGGCCGGGAGTATCTGCCCCGCCCCCCGATGAAGGCGTACGTCTATGGCACTCCCCCGCCCAGCACCATGGCTCAGCTGCGCCGGATAATCCAAGGTCACCTGGAGCGTTTCCAGAAGGCGGATGAGGAGCACTTTTCCCGTCGCGCCAACATTCAGCTGCTAAAATCGGAAGTGCTGGGGACGGAGAAAAAGCAGCAGGCAATGCAATTGTGGGTGGTTCGCACGCCCACTATTTCCGGTTCGGCCTCGGAAAACGCGCTGGATTACGCCCTGGCCCCGAATACACCCACTCCGAAGGACTACGCGCATAAGTTCCTGCCCGAGGGCAAGGATGTGGTACCCGGAAGCTCTTACATTCCGCTGCGGTTGCTGGTGATAAAGCGCTGAAATATCGGGCGGCGGCTTTTGTTGCTCGAAAAAAACAAGTTCCGGCGGAATGCCGATAGCCCAGACAACCAGTAGTAGTTGCCTAGTTGGCTAATTGGCTTTAAGCTTACTGGTTCTTACCTCTAGCTTAGCAATACTTTAGTTGTTTATATGCTAAGGCCCCCGTTGGCAGCTCAGTTCGCTAATCTAAATTAAGTCACCACATCCCGGGGTCCGTGGCTAAGACTTACGACCTTAACGCATCCAATAAAACCGAAATTAAGCCGACCAGTATGCCGTCGTAATCTATGAAATACATTCACCAAAAACTAAGTTGTCATCTCATTTACATAAATTAGAAGTCATAAATTTGAAGTGAGCGGGGAACTACTAGGCTTTAAGCGGTTAAAAGCTGTCTAGAAAACCGGTTCGCCTTTTATCGGTAAGCTCAAAATAAAAGCTTAAAGCTATACGAGCCAGGTTTAGTCTTTAACTAACTATTACAAGTTAAGTTCAAAGCTGGATGCTTTTCTAATTTTATTTTCTACTAAAGCTTTGTGTAACTATTTATATTAGTCAACAATAAATTGATAAAAGTTAAAAGTTGTCTATTAAAATGTAATGAATTTATAATAAAATTGTATTTATGTTCAGATTCTATTTGAACTGTTTGTTGGTGAATCATTATCTTGATGACTAACCCGTATTTAAATTTTTATGTTCTACACGAAAGTCCATTATAACCGGTTGTCTCTATGGCAAATAGAGATAAGAGATCGTAGATTGTATAATCTCCCAGCAAACATTATAGCATTTGCAGCACAGCAATGTGCTCCTTCTACAAAAATTGTGTATAATGGCGTTTTTAAGAGATATGATGAGGAACAAATGATACACGAAGTCGGGTAACATTTTCTTTAGAGATGAATGATAATTGAATACAGTAAGCTGCATTTACTGAAAAAATTTAGACACACCCCTAAATGAAGACATATTTACCTTTATAATTTACCATTTAATTTAATAGACATTAAATCATTTATTAATTTATTGTTCTTATATAAATATTTTTTTACAATTTGCTTTAAACTAACTTAGCTAATTTGTATACTTAGTTACTGGTAATATGAGTTGATGACTGGCTTGAACGTTTTAAAATTGACTCCGTGGGCATTTCGATAGTTTCCTGGTCGCTCTTCTTGCGCAAATTGCAACAGAGACCCAACCAGGCCCTCTGATTGTCCTTATTGAAGACTATAAAGTATAGGAATAAAACGAAACCCTGTAGTGTTGCTGTAAGGCAAAAAAGGTAGGCAAAGATCCTTCCAAAATCAAAATAGGTACACAGCCCGAAAATCCAAGTGATTCCCAGGAGAAAGAAGAGTAGTACGAAGAGACCCAATTGCTTTAAAATGAGATTTCGAGTGAACAGAGTTTTGTAGACACTCCAGGTGATGTAGCCCACCATAAGGGCATTGGCCACAGTAATCAGGCCAATTGGTAGTATAACTCCTAGACTCAAGCCATATCCCGAAGGATAACACAGAATAGGAGTATCCAGTGTATTGTTGCTGGGTCTGTAGCAATCGGGCTTCAAAAAAACAACCAGTAAGGTGGGTATAAGTGGCAATGTCCATGCCACAATGGCTGCTATTAATATATAGTGTCTGGGGTGATTAACCCCGATGACCCTGACATATCTTTGATACTGCAGGAAGCCTATGATAAACATCCAGCTGAATACAACTAAGAGTAAATACTGCATCACGGCTCCAATTAGCGTACAACGATCCAAATTGGTTTGATCCAGCTGTTCCAGCAACTGACTTTGACTCAAAATCAGGAAGAACAGCAACTGAAGACCCAGGGCAGAGCAAAGGTTTAGCAATATTTTTGTAGAAGCCAACATCCTGAAGCTTTTGAAAACGGCTGCAGTCAGGAAAATGAGAAAGAGTCCAAGAAGCGATAGACTCAATCCCACATTGGTTATAATATCCAAAGTGCGATCATCTTCGTAGGTGTCCAGTCCAGTCTGCATTTTGCTAACTCCCAGTAGAAATGTGAACTGAGTGAGGTGATCGGCATGACAGAGGATGACTGGATTTGATGAATTTTCTGAGCTGGCACTGCCGCTCGTGGAAATTCCATCACTTAGCCAAGTCTCGTAGTTCCAATAGCCACATCCACCCTCAGATGGTGTTCGATTTGTATTTCCATTGCGCAGGAAAAACGGCAACTTCTCGGGTAGCTTGTGATCTAAGAGAGAAACTAGTGCTTTAGAATTGAAAAACATTTTAATAATTTCCTCAATCATTCTATATCATAATCGCCCGCTGTTTAAATTTAGTATACCATTAAAAGTATTTTGTTTTAGCTTCAAATTCGAACAATCAGTGACTATTATTTATACTGCATAATAAGGTGTTAAAGAAAATATAAATATCAAATGACTTTTTTGTTGTTCATCCAAATCTTTAAATAAATTCTGTCTTAATACACTTACCTTCCAATCCTGGTATGGTTATAGAGATAACATTACTAGTGGGCCGTCGTTTGATTTCCTCATCTGTCTCCACAAAAAGAGTATCTCTCGTGTAGACCTTAAAAACTAGGTAATTGGCTCCCTTTTTCTTAAGTTTCGTCCACAGTGTTTCAGGTAGAAATGCAGCAGTCTCCAGGTTATCAATCGCCCTTATATCATTTTCGTTATCCGTTGAATGTAGTCTCTTAAAATCTGACGTAAAGCCATCAGAAAAGACAGCAACTCCGGTAACATTGGCCACGTCTGGATCCACAAAGAACACACTAAGCTCGTTTGTCTTGAGAACCACAACTCCTAAGTCCAGAAAAGACTGAAAATTAAACTCCAAGCTGTTGTTAAACTTGCTGATGTTTTGTAGCAACATTTTCGGACTCAATGCATCCAGATAATCCTCGAAATTGCTTAGCAAGGAATTGGTGGCATTTGCTTCAGCGGAAATTCGCAGAGTTTCGTTATCGGTGGTCATCACTTTTTGGCAAATCTTCATCAGATCCCCGACAACTTCAGCATTTCTTTCCCGATTCCTAACAAGCGAGTCGAATATTTCCGAAATACTTAAGACATCGGCAGCGGCAAGTTTCTCCTCGGATTGAGTGAGGAGACTACTGAGTTGGCTAATCATATCCGGCGGACTGCTTACAGCCAGAAGGTTAATACTTTTGCTGAGTTCTGGGGCCGATCTACAGGTTATATGATCGAGGCTTTGCCAAACTCTATTGCCACTTCGAATTTGACACCTGCGTCTGACGGGAATTCCTCTTTCATTTAAACACAGATCTCTCAGATAAGCCCTTTGACCAACTCTGGTTTTCTCCACGCGATTGCTTCGCACTTCCAAGCCCTCATCCGTTTCATAGTTCAGCTCGAAGTCTTCGGCCTTGCAGAATCCTCGATTGCAGTCCTTATAGGGATTGTGCGACAGCTGACCATCTGCATCGACACAGAGCAGGAATCGCAGGTTCTTCAAGTGGCAGTAGTCCAAGCATCTGCCCACATTAGGCTGATCTAGGGCATAAAGGGGCGAGTCTGTACTCCCGGACTCGAGTATTAAATAGCCAGCAATCCACCAGAGAAACAGCAGCATAGTGCTATATATTCTGTAGTTTAATTCAAGCGCAGGCTGTGTTGTCGCACTCCCGAAGCTTCGCGGTCGACTGACGGGGGAGCGATAAAATGCCAGTTGCGATAAAACGAGTTTTCATCTTCACATACCCTGAAAATAGGGCCTGCGAGAATTGCCACTTTCCTCACTGTTCTTTCTGGGAATTCGGATGGTCTCAAGGTAAACTGGTCAGAATTGCAGCATCTTCAAAGGTTGAACGGTGAGTTCTTATTTTGCTGCTCCAGATATAAACTTAAAGCTTCTTCGAATACTTGAACTTTATTAATTACCTACCTGCATAAAAGAGATTAAGGAATTGCTGGTACCGAAATAAACATTACTGTTGTTATTAAAATTATATTACCATGTTGTGTGTTGCTTAAATACTTTGTGAATAGTTTTATCATGTATATCTGTTATTATTATTGAAATTATATTACCATGTTATTTTTCGTTTAAAAAAGTTTTTGAAGTTTTATCATTTATCTCTGTTGTTACGGCTATCGTTTAAATAATAGTACAATGATCTTTGTTGCTTAAAAACATATTGTATTGTTTTGTCATTTTTCTCTGTTATTACTGTTTTTGTTAAAAGTATATTACCATAATTTTTCACAGTGTAATTTTTTTACAATGTAGTCTTGTATAGTTTTATTTTGTATCTCTTTATCATGCGTAGTTCACTTCCCAATTAAAAAAAACAAATAACGCTGATAAAAAAGATAAATGGCAATTAATGAATTTGTACAACCAAAGCACTGAATTCATAATAAAAAGATAACATATAATTGAGGTACTCTAAGAGCTGATAACACTTATTTTAACAATTTTTTTTGTTATAATAATAATCATATAAATTTCATTCACAATTTTTAGGGTATTTAAGGGTACGACTACTAAACTACCCTAAGACCCTCTCTGTTTTATAAAGAGCAAAAATAGTTAATCAACTCTCAGTTGGGAGTAGCCATAAGTACATGACATGCATGCATCGATCGGTAGCTGCTGGATGTCAACAACTATGATAAGCAGCCACCTTCTGATGTTTCACCCCACTGCTGTTTTAGAAGGTGTAGATAGGTAAATTCAAATATTTGTACTCAGATAAAAATATAATCATGCAGTGATATTCGACTTTTTCGAAAAATCTAATGTTCTTTTTAGCAAGGTGTGAAAAATCTCTATGTCATATTATTTAAGATAAGATATGCCTATTGCAATAGAAGTAAAAAACTACTGCAGGTCTGCAAACAAATAAATTCTTAAAATATAAAATAGTTAAGTATTTTTTGCCAGTGCCCTCCTCATAAATCCACAGCTTATAAGATCAAATATGTCGATAGGTGGCAATAGAATTACCCGCGTGAATAATTAGATGCGCTACTTGAACGGCTGCCACCATCATCGCCAATCATCACTTGATATTTTTTCACTTTCTGAATAGCCACTCAAGTTTGGAGAGTTCGCGCGCGCTTATAGAAACAAGTCTGAATACTTCCCGACAATAAAAAGTCTAGGCTTTACAAAACCGACATCATCTGCCAACTTATTCTTGATTACATGATTTGTAAAATATATAAAAATAAAATATGCGTAAAATATATACAAAAATATATAGGCTAATGAGTAGTGCGGCCTCTGGCATTCGTTTTAAATTTCTTGGAAATCAATAAAATATCTGTGGCCAAATTGCAGTGTTTATATTCAATAATTATTGATGGCAATGGAAGCTGCAACAATTGTAAGATGTCATGACATTGCATCGATTCTATTTACCTTAACTGAAATACACTTATTATGGTTTCAAAAGTGCAGACCTTAAGGCATTTAAATTTGAACAAACTTTGGTACAGAATTTTCATTTGATAAGCTGAAAACTTCGAAATAGTAGTGTAAAATAGAAACTGATTCACTCCGACAATTATAACTACTAAGCAATTATAAATAAACGTGCTTGTATGAGTATAAATAAATTGTTTCTATACAGTGCTTTTATAATTATTGTTTTTAAGCTCAAAATGACAATAACTTCTGTTAACTTAATAATATTTTCCAAGCCATGATTTATTTGTTGCACATAAAATTGATTATAAAAAGTGAAACATGAAGAGTAATACGTATACCTTTTTTAATAGGTGCATTGACCTAATAATTGTTTTTAAGCTTACAATGATAGAAAATAGCTTCTGTTAACTTAATAATATTTAAGCCTTGACTTATTAGTTGCAAAAAATATTAGACAATTGGTTAAGCGGTCTAAGTATTTTAAAAAGTTTATATTTGAGTACGTCGATTGACCTGCTTTGAGGAGAGCAACGCTGAAATATTTGTTCCTATGGCAACATTTTGCCGCACTTTTTGTTTGGGCCCAGAAGCAATATCTTCACTACCAACACGAAAAATGGCACAAAAAGACGCAGGACGATGGACGTGCAGAGGGTCCTTCTTTTTCATTGTAATGGAAGATGAAAAATGGCCTCACAGCCGGCAACATGTTTCGTCTAAGGCGGAGTGCTCTGACAAAGTTGGTTCCACTTCAGGAATTTATTTACTCAAGTGTGATGCGATTATCCTGATGCACTTGTCCTTTGTCTCAATGCGCTAGATACGCCCGCTGGGCACCGACCCAAAAAACACAAACAGAATGGAATATTTTTGTAAGTCTCTGGAGCTGGTATGTACAGCAATTGAGATGTCCGAAAAGTTTGGTAAACCCTTAATTAAATGCCAGGCAGATAGTCATCTTCTGGCAACGAACTTGATTAGAGTCCAGGGGCATTCAGTATTCGGTATTCAGTATTTTCCTTCTGCAGCGGGCACGCCCCATTTCCTCGGGACAATTGTTGGCAGGACCTTTCAACGAGATGGCTTCTTTTATTTCGCGGTCATCCACAACTCCTTCGCCGACTTGATGATGACTCTAAGTGCCCAGAACAACGCCTTTTAATTTGTTAGATGCGCTACACATTTATAATGGTGGTTCGATTTTGCTTTGTTTTGGAAGTTACAAATTAAGTTAAGAATGAAAAAAAACATGTCATACCTCTTTACCCATTAAAAGTTATTTATAATACATAAAAGTTAATTTCTCTAAGGATATTTAAAGCTTTGGTGACCCAGTTAACTCTCCCTGTTTGCTTATTAAAAAGGTAGTTAAAGAGAATAGCAATCGAAATAAACCTGTTGTCATACCCATTTACAAGTTATACATTATTATAATCAATAAAATAAATGTTTTCTTATGGTATTTAAAGACCCAAAGTCTTCATAGTTAGATAGTTAACGAAGGTGCATTTCAGCACAGTTTGTTTAGATCCATAGCCCCTGGTTGCCTGACAATGACTCTGACAGTCTGCAGGCAGGGCAGCTACTGTGATAACTGGTTACCTAGCCGGCTAAAATGCCCCACCTTTCGTCCTGCCAACTCCTCCTTCAATGTCACCGCCAGCGATGTGCTGTCAGCAAGGCAGATGGCTCTGCTTTTGTTGCCGTATGCTCTTTCGACCTTTGTGCGTTCTGTGGCACTCAGTAGCGAATCAAATAGCGCCAAAAGCCACCACAATTGAAACTTGGACAATGCTTTTAATTATGTTTGCGGAGAGTAATTAATTTATGCAGCGTTTAAGCGCACATGAATATCCGATTGATGCACTCTTCTATAAAACTGTGGCTTTTTTAAAGGGGGCCTGCCTTGATGTTTTGTCGCTAACAGGTGCTTGTTTAGCCACGCCCCAGTGTGCCCCATTAGCGAGGCGACCTTTCCACCTAACCACCCACCCATTCGCCAATCCGCCAATCCACCCACCCATTCAATTTCAATTACTGTACTGTACGAGGACTTCTGTTTGCAATGCAAGTGGATCTAATTTATTTGCCGCTTCTGGAACGCTGAAATGTTCATCTGCTTGACTGGAGCTGCCCGAAAATCTATTGTCGTAGGGAAATTATGCGTAAGGCATTGGCTGAAGCGGGGAGTTTGACAAAAATCAGCAGCAAAGTAAATAAAACTGGCAATAAATAACGCCGGAAACGCAAGTGAGAATGCTGGTGGCTCTGAAAATGCGAATGCAAAGTAAACACTATTAGGAGGAAATGTAGTAGGTGATTTAAGCCTAGTCTAACCAATAAAAACAACAAAAAAGAAATTACAGGTGAGCTGAAAATTCTTTATAAATATTTTGATATTTTTCAAAGACAGATATGTTTTTGAGTATATTATAAGATTTTCTACAAAAATGTAATTGATTCACAATTTTAAAGCTATGTGTCATTAAAATAAGTGCAATTGAATTAGTAAGCATGAAAAACATGAAACAAGTTAATGATTTAAAATTTAATTAGTATTCCTTGGCTAAATATATTAAAATTGTAGAATTATATTTTTTTAATCAAATTTTTCAGGGTAAGTAAACTAGATAATGAAAATGCAATATGTGTAAATGACGTATTTAAATGGTAAATAGCCTCCCTGACCCTTTTTTTTTTGTATCATTAATGTCTCTAAAAACACTTTAAGGCTTAATAATTTCAAAACGTATATATATATAAGTACTTAAACCAATTGAAGTAAGACTATTGTTTCTTAATCAAAACTTATTATTAAACTGTTGTTTGTGCTAGTTGATATACTATCATTTAAAACCGGGTAGTCGCCATCTACTGGTAGGCAGCAGCATCAGTTAGGGCGAGACAGGGTTCGGGAGCGAGCTTTTCCCGCCTGAGAGCTTTTCCGACTAGCTTTCCCGACGACCCGACCAGACCAGCAACAACAAACAGCTGAGTGGGCCAGGCAATTGGCAGGCAGCCGACAAAGGAAAAGCGGACAAGTGTCTAAAGGCGACCCGCCTTTAATACGGCGCTCCTTCGGCAGAAAGCGCTCAGTCGTCGACGGCTGATTCAGGCGAGTTGTTCACTCCGGCGGACAGAGTGTGGCGGAAAAACCCTGGCGGACTGGGAAAACTCCTTGGGAAACGCGCGCGTTCCTTATCAAAGGGACAGTGAACAGTGAGCCAGTGAAAGTGGAAAGTTATCGCGAGAGT